GACCAAACCAAACAAAGACTGTGCATTCCTCATAAGGAAGAGATTAAAAGTTTGTTGATTGGGGAATGTCACGATTCTGAGGGTCATTTTGGTTTCAAGAAAACATATGCTGAAGTCAGAAAACGTTTCGAATCGAAGGGACTTAAAGAAGATGTACATACATATGTTCGTACTTGTTTAGTGTGTCACAGAAACAAGCCGTCGCATGAGAATCCCCTTGGACTTCTCAAGCCATTACCTACACCAAGAGAACCAGGTGAGTCTATCTCAATTGACTTCATGAGTCTGGTTAAACGTCGCAATGGTAATAGTCAAGTGATGGTAATTGTGGTTCGTGTATCTAAATACGCTATGTTTGTTCCCTTACCAGCAGAAGCGCGTACTGAACTTGTCATTCAAAAATTTCATATGCGATGGGTCACTGAGTATGGGTTCCCTGAAACCATTGTGTCTGATCGAGATGTCAGGTTCACCAGTCTGCCATGGCAAAAGCTGATGGAAGCCTATGGCACATGGCTGACCTTATCGTCAGGGAGGCATCCCGAAACGAATGGCCAGACTGAACAGATGAATCGTCTGTTCCAGCAACTTTTGCGTATGTATATTAGACCCAATCAGATTGATTGGGATGAAAACTTACCCAAAATTGCGAGTGCATATAACAATAGTGTTCACACTTCTACGGTACGAACCCCGAATGCACTTCACAAAGGGTGGAAGCCTAAAGAGTTGCCCCCAGGGACCCGAGAGTATGCAATCTTGTTTCAGGAGGACATTCAGAAAGTTAAAGATAATCTAAGGAAAGCTCAACTATGGATGATTGAACAAGCCAACAAGCACCGTCGACCGTCTACATTCAAAGAGGGTGATTTGGTTTGGGTAAAATCTAAAGAGTTTTCACTAGAAGAAGATGTGTCCCAGAAATTGTTACCTGTCTATTTTGGACCCTGGGAAGTTCTCAAGGTAATTGGAGATGCAGAAGGACCGTCTTATCGAGTTGATATTCCCCCTCATCTCAAAACATATCTTGTCTTTCATGCGTCCAAGTTGTTGTCGTACGTAGAAGGAAATGAGTTTCCACACAGACCCTCTATGATTCCATCAGACATGGATGGTGGATACGAGGTTGACAGAATCATAGAGCGTGCTTACTTCTCTACGGGAGGACGTGGACGACCTCAGAAGCAGTTCAAGGTGCGTTTTAAAACTCAAGCACCATCTGAGGACAGACGGTTTAGTAAACGAGAACTACTTGAAAAACTGCTCCTGATATTGTCGCTGCTTATTAACGAGGGTTAAAGTCTTAAATATTTCTGCGGTGGAACTCGAAAATGGGCCGGCAGGAATGTAATAACTCTGTTCAGAAGTAGCCTGGGGCCCAAAACTCAGCCCCAGGCCACACAGACCTGAGATGGTCGGCGCTGGGCTGTGTGACCAAGACACGCCCAGGTCTGAGTCTGTCGTGAATGGTTGTGTGACCGAACACTGCACACAAGAAATTCAAGAGTCAAAGTCAACTGTAAAGTCAAAGGTACCGCACCCAGGCCCTTGGTTGGATACACTCACTTGTTGTGCGCAGGTACCCAGACANACTGTAAAGTCAAAGGTACCGCACCCAGGCCCTTGGTTGGATACACTCACTTGTTGTGCGCAGGTACCCAGACAGCATCCAGGCCGGAGGGAATTCGGTTTCAAGTCAATTTGGGCCCTCATTCGCATTGAGATCTGGACGGCCGAGGGATACAACATCCGGGGTCCAGACCTCGCGTCAACACTACATAAGAATAATTTGACTTCCTGGCTTTGACATTCATTCTATCTTGCGTTGATGCTGACTTCACGCGTTGACTTCGACGCTGGCTCGACGCTGTGACGCTGGCATTGTAACTTGGTGTTGTGCTGCTAGTCCGGCATTGTGGTCGGCTTGCTCCTGTCTTCTTGGCATGCTGACGTGGCAGCTGCTATGCGCTATTGCTGATGTGGCTGCTGCCACGTGTATCATTGGCTGACGTGGCTGCTGCCACGTGTTCTATGGTTAGGACTACATAATCGGCATTGCTGTTTTGTTTCATCGTCACTTCAGGAGGAGATCAGGACTGTGGAGAGTTCGAGGATACGTACCTGGTGGTCTTCGTGTTGACATTGCTCCAGATGCTGATGTGGGACTGATTAGACGTGCCACGTGGCACAGTGAGGCTATTCCGGATACTCGATCAGACTATTGACTACTGAGGTGGTAGTAGAGAGGAGAGCCCGAAGCAGGAGTGGGCATTGTACTTTCCTCTCCTTTGTCTCTTCTCCCTCCTCTCTCTTCGTCTGTGTATGATTACCTCACCTCATTCTGTCTGGTTACGATTTTGACTACTAGTAATCATCAGCCGATGGGCATTTATCTGGGCTTGCATTGTTGACAACTGTCTTCACGATCTGGGTTCATTACATTACGTTCAGAAATAGAAAAAAAGAAGAAATAGATTCTCATTGGATGGACTGGCTAGTGGGATCAATCAGGTTAAGGTTTATAGGACAAGAAGGAGGTATGTGGATGAGTGATGAGAGGATGCCAATACATCACTCGTTTCTGTGTTCTTGAAGCGTAAAGCTGACCAGCTCCTTTTTCCTCGTCTGACACGCTCCTCGCGATGGCTGCTTCTTCAAATACTCCTGTCCTCTCCACCCTCCTCACCCCTCTTCCCCTCTGAAAAAAGGTTGACCGAGAATTTTGAAGACCGGTTGACTAGAGATGGACTCATGCCATGCCACGTGTCTCCCTGCCACAACCGGTATTACCCCTCTTCTCCCTGAGGCAGAATGCCTATCCTGTGGCTATTTTTCTGACGACACTTGGCAGCACACTCCTCTGGATGACAAAAGTAGAACGAAACGATGAACAAAACGATGGGAGCAGAACAGTTGGTCATGCCCCAGGCGCCGTAATCCTGCGATGGCTGGGATACCACCCACTTCTGACTATTCCACATCTTTTGACGACACTCGAAGGCGAGCTCCTCTGGATGTCAAAGAAAAAACACATGGCGTCACACATATCCCCTCTAATAGCACTGACCCCTGCCCACCGATAGTCTGAAGAGTATTCAGAAGATCGGTTGACTAAAAATGGACTCATGCCATGCCACATATCTCCCTGTCACAATTGATTTCTCCCTCCTTCTCCCTTGGACAAAATGCCTCTCCTATGACTCTTCTTCTGACAACACTTGACTCGACTCGTCCGGCTGATAAGAACAATGCTTCACTCATGTGCCCTCTCCACTCACAGGGAGCAGAACAGTTGGTCATGTCTCCGGCTCCATAAGCCTACGATTGCTGGAATATCACCTGCTTCTTCTCCTGGTCGATACTTGACAGCACGCTCCTCCGGATGTCGAAGAAAAAACACGTGGCTACACACGTGTCCCCTACGCCAGTGCCGGTCCCTACCCTCCGCTCACAGGGAGCAGAGCAGTTGGTCATGCCCTGGGCGCCGTAAGCCTGCTACGGACGCTGGGCGCAAGTCGCGCCCCACCAGCAGCATCGAGTCTTCGTTGCTTTGATAATGGCATACTCTACTTTTTCCCGGGAAAAAAAGAAAAACAAGGTATGGACGTTTCAGTTGAACAGCAGGACAGTTCAGGCACACAGGCAAGTTATTCCATCTTTTTGGGCAAACAGCAAGATACACTGTACGTGAAAAGCTTCACATCTGCACATATTGCAGACACATCAGAAAAATAATAATGATGGACACATCAGTTGCTTGAAAAATCCAGTAAGCTTGGCTCCAGCTCTAATGCCAGGAGATGTAATTGCCCTTGCATGTCGTCTCAGGGGCTCGTCTGCTTTGGCCCTGCATGTCAGTCCACCACCGATGGGAAGTTCACAAGCGTCAAAGGCTTCAACAAGTACGGCTTCCTCTGCAAGGTGAGAGGTGCAGTGGAGGAAAAGTTGCCCGAATTGAGTCCAGGGCAAATGAGAGGAGATGTAATGTGCATGGCTGGCGGTGTCTTGAATAGGTTCCATGCGAACGGCTGGTTTGAGTTCGATAACGGTATTAACGGATTATGCGACCTTCAAACTAGCCCCTCAAATGGTGTTTGATTGGAAATTAGCCGGGCTCGGAGGAGGTGCGACAAACCAAAGCAGCAAATGAGATGGAGGGGCCCTTGGGAGGGAGTAGTGGAGAAGAAACATTGCCACAGAGTGGATGCAAGCGAGCATTCACTTCGAAGATACGCAGAGGTAAAGGCCGTAAGGAGAACGCATTTTGCTAGCAAGAAAACCCAACATAGGCAGCATCTAGAGAAAAAGGAAAAAGAAGAGAAGGGGGGGGGAAGAAGAAAAAAGAAAAGGTAAAGAAAAAGAAAAGAAAACTAAAGAAACTGGCAAACCTTTTGCTTTTCCTTTTCCCATTTTGATATTGCGCCTCACTTGCCACCAAATGCAAATTCTCATGGTTCCAAAAAACAAGTGCCCAAAAACTCGCCTAAACCAGGTACCGCTTCACCGACTCACCCTCAGTGGCCAGTCGCCAGAAAGTAATCCAGCATGAATTTCATGAGCGACTTCTGTAGAACGAGGCCCTCACTCCACGGGTGCTGTACGGCGGCTGGACCAGTGCTAGCAACCGGTCAACAATGGTCCTTCCGGTGTTAGTAGAGGACAGAAGGGCTCAGACTGGATGTTGGCACAAAGACATCCAGCCTCCCAAGTGGGAGGGTTCCAAAGAGGTACCTCCCCCAAAAAGGGTGTTACACCCAGGTACCTCACCGGTGGAGGCGAGTACTCGCCTACAACAAGTTGCTGGAGGTCCAAACCACAGAGGGGAGTTTTCTGGCCGGGCGAGTATGCGGGGCGGTGCCAAACTCATTTTTCTGTTTTCTGGGCACTGCGCATTGAACTGATTGTCTGAATACTTGAGCAGAATATGAATGAACTTCAATAAAGTCATTAATAATAATAACAAAATATTGAAAATAATAAATAAAGGCATTTTTCTTAACGGTAAAGGATAGATACTGACAAAAGTTCGCAAGCTCTCCAACCGCTGAAGAAAATAGCCGATATCGGGAGGCCCTTCTGCGATCATCGCTGCTTTCCCGAGACTGGCCTGTGAATGGTCAGACTGTGGCGCTTCCTTTCGGTCCACAGCCAGAGCCAGATTGGATTCGAATTCTCCTAGCTTTCCCTGAAAAATAGATTGGTTTTTCTTCTCCTGTGTCCCAGATCCAGTCCCTCGATCCACGTGAAGCACACTTTGAACCAGATCGCTTGCTGCTGGTTCACTAACATTGCCACATGGTCCAGCATTTTCTCCCATGTCGTCCTCACATTCCTCCCAGTCCTCGTCATCGTAATTATCTTCACTTGTAGCAGGCTCAACCTGCAACTGAAGAAGGCATTCATAAAACAAGAGAGATTCCCATTTGAAAAACAGTACGAAAGAAGAAAAAGAGGGAGGGATTGACATTTATCAATGCAGCCAAGTTCATCAGTAACATGCGCCTCCAAGCTGGTCCGTGTCAGACTCACAGGAGTCGTGGATAAAAGAGAACGTACACTGTTGACATAATCTTTTTTTTTTTTTTTTTTTTGATGTTTTCTTAAAACGGCGACAGCCTTGAGGTATCATCATGGAACTTACCGCCCCCAGAGTTATTTTTATTCATGTGATCCCATCAGGATTCGGACTCAGCTAAACAAGGGAAAAAAAAAAAAGGATTCGGAATCAGCTCTGTTTATCATCACCTCATGGGTGTACCATTCCGCCACATGGGCTGGGTTCTTCTTCTTCTTCTTCTTCTTCTTCTTCTTCTCCTCCTCCTCCTCCTCCTCCTCCTCCTCCTCCTCCTCCTTCTTCTTCTTCTTCTTCTTCTTCTTCTTCTTCTTCTTCTTCTTCTTCTTCGGATCCCTGGCCAGGTTCGCCAGGGTGGTGGGTGGTCCCTGGGGATCTTTGATCCTCCAGGTCTACCCCCACCTGTACTAGATTACAGGACACTGCAGCATCCGAAGGCGTGACCGTTGGGAGGGGCTGATAATAGTGTCGGGACCCTTTTAATTTGGAAAAACAGGGCTGAGCTGAAAAAATAGGCGGGCCTGTATACTAGGGGCTGGGTTTGATCAAGGAATTCTTCTTGTCGTCCTCCGTGTGAACAGGATTTTGTTTGTTCTTTTATACCTGTGAATTCTTCTTCTTCTTCTTCTTCTTCTTCTTCTTCTTCTTCTTCTTCTCGCTTCTTCTTCTCACTTCTTCGGCACTCTGTCCGCGTCTGGTGTTTGAGCGCTGCATCCTTGCCCTCCGAAGATGGATTTTTTTGGACGTGATGTGTTGGATGAGGCGACCGGTTACCTCTACCGAAGATGTGACGGAACGGGTACGTGGGGCTGCGTGGAAAGAAGAAGGGATGGACGGAAACGTGGTAGGACTAGTGTGGTTGCATTCATGTGCTATAAAGCATGAAGGACTATGCTCCTTCTTATCTTGATTTGGTCCTCCTGCTGAGACTTGTGTAGGCGCAAGTCGAAACACGTTGAGGGAATGCGTACTTTTTGGCGGTGTTTGACGAAGGAATTATCCTGTTGTCCTCCGTGTGAACAGGATTTCTTCTTCTTCTTTTCACTTCTTCTTCTCGCTTCTTCGGCACTCTGTCTGCGTCTGGTGTTTGAGCACTGCGTTCTTGCCCTCTGAAGATGGATGTTGGACGTGATGTGTTGGATGAGGCGACCGGTTATCTCTACCGAAGATGTGATGGAAGGGGTAGGTGGGGCTGCGTGGAAACAAGAAGGGATGGAGGGAAACGTGGTAGGACTAGTGTGGTTGCATTCATGTGCTATAAAGCATGAAGGAGTATGATGAAACCAGTCTTGCAAATTCACACTCAAACATGCATGCAACAGATGAGAATAACTTGGCGCTGTGCACCCAACTCAAACTCGGAGATATGGTAGCTTGCAACTCAACTCAAATCCAAGTT